ATATCCGGGTAGCATGCCCCTTATGTCTTTCATACTGTTGGGGGCAACTATCTTTTATTTTTTCATATATCATTGTCAAATAAAATTGTAAATATTCACCTTGTATGTGATGTTCTGATTTGGGATATACTGTAAAGTGGTTACTACAGTCAAGCTAATTAACATGGTTATCCCTTACATACCTTTTTATGTATGACTTTTGTGGTGAGAATATTTCAGATCTTCTCTTTTAGCAAGCCTTGAATACACACCACCATAATGCTAACTAGAGTCACATTGTGGGCATTGGATTTCTAGGATTTGTTCATCTTGCATAACTGAAACTTTACATGCTTTGACCAACGTCACCCACTTCCTCCCTTCCCTGCCCCCTCATCCCCAGCCAGGCACCATTTTTCTCTGTCTTCCAGATTTATCCATGTTGTTTAAATGAGACGATTTTCCTCCCTAATAAGGCTAATATTTTGTACATGTTACATTACACACATATAACATTCTCCTTACCCATTTCACATCCATGTACGGACATCAGATCATTTCCATATCTGGGCTTCTGCAGGGAACAAGGGCAAGCACATAGCTCCTGAAGACAATGGCTTTGAAGCAAGAGGTGAGGGTTTTGCAAACAACCTGGCCAAGTGGGCATGACCTGCCAATCACAGAGACCCGGGAGACATGTCCCAAGCTCTGCTCCTGGGACCCATCAGAAAGTGCTCTCTTCATTTCTTCTTGGAGATCTCAAACAGATTTTTGATAGGACTGTCAAGAACTGATGTTGCCAGAGTGGGAGATACAAAGATGGCAGCCAGAGTGGGAGATAAAAAAGATGGCAGCTGTTAAGCCATGGGGTCTGTGAGTCTTTTCACTGCCTGGCTCTTGACCTATAGAACACACATTTTTCCTACTTTTATTTGGCCAGCACTGACTATGCAGAGCACACTTCTTTTCTTACCTTTAATAGATGTAAAACCTCACTACGTATTTCACTTGTCTTATCCAATTCTTTATTCAGGACAGAAGGACCCTAGAAAGTGCCTCTAAGAGAATCCCCAGCACCCCAGAACCCAGTGATAGTTTTATTTATTTGGATCTACCCCCAGAAGTAGAATTACTATATTATCTGCCAGTTCCATTTTTAATTTTCTTTTTATGTGGTGCTGGGGATCATGCTGAACACATGTTCTACCCCTGCAGCTCTTATTCTAATCTTTTAAGGAGCTTCCATATTGTTTTCCATTATTACTATACCAATTTACATTCCCACCCACAACCAAGGTTTCTTTTTTGCCACATCTTTGTTAATACTCGTTATCTTTTGACTTTTTGGTAAAAACCATCTTAACAGAAGTGAGGAGATGTGTTTTGGTTTTGATTAGCCTTTCCCCGATGATGATGATGATGATGATGAAGATGATGATGATGTCAATCACCTTTTCACGTGCTACTCTGACAGTACTTTAGAATTCTCAGGTCATTTGAATAGTTGAGCACAGGGGAGGTGAGGAAGGGATGTGGCAGTTGCTTAGGGTGGGATATAAGAGCTAAATTTTCATTTCATATGATAATGGGTCAATAGAGATATGAAGTCCAAGAGTCAAGAAGAAATAGTAGAAATACATCATTGGATTTTTTTCTTTTTATTGTTGGATAGGAGCTCTCACTCCAAAACCTTCCACCTTATTCTTCTTCCCTCCATGGCTTGCTTTCTAGGCGCGCTGTATAGCTGTCATTCTTGGACTTACCTTAGGCGCAATTCCTTTTTCTGATTTGCACTCCTGCTTTAAATCCGTGTCCTCCTCTCTGTTTTCTTCATTTCGATGGTGACATTCTTCATATGTTCCTTTAGATAGGGTGTGCGTCAGTTCCTCATTGCTGGGACACAGCATCCAATACCCAGAATTTGAAGGAAGAGAGGTTTACTCTGGCTCACAGTTTAGGGGGTTCAGTCCATGGATAGCTGGCTCTAAAACAGAAAGGGCGCGATGGAAGAAAATGCTCACCTCATGGCAGCTAAGAAGCAGAGAGAGAAGAGAGAGCAGTGGAGGAAAGTATACCCTCCAAAGGTACCCTTCCAGTGACGTGCCTCGTCCCACAAGGCCCCGCCTCCTGTCGGCACATTTAGCTATAAATTCATCAACATTGCAATCCACTAGTAAGCATAGAGCCCCATCCAGTCACCTTCCAAAAGCCCCCACCTCTGAACTTATGAGACTTTTGAAGACTTTTGGAGGATATTCTAGATCAAAATCACAACAGCATGCGGGACCAATAAGGCTTTTCTGAGACCTTGTATGTCTGGAAATGTTACACTTCCTTCGCATCTGTTTGATGGCCTCGCTGGGCATGGAATTTGAGGCTGAGAAAAATTTCACTGAACAAATTTTAAAGCATTTCCTATTTTCTTCTGGCTTCTGTTGTTGGTGTTGAAAAGTCCGATGCCACTTTGCTTCTTGAAACTTAGTATGGAAACAGTATGTTATTTTTTTTTTTCATTGAAAGCTTTTAGTGCCTCTTCCACACCCATGATGTTCTGAGATTTCGCAGTGCTGCATTATCAAGGGAGACTAAGCATTCAGTGTTCTCAGTACTGGTGGGGTTTGATCTGGAACTCCCTTTTAAAGGAAGCTTCTTTTATTTCCTTGATACTCTTCTCCCCGTGTTTTTCCCCTCTTTTCCTAGAATTTCTCCTTGATGATGCTGGGCATCCTGAATCTGTATTTTCTTGAATTTCCATTTCATGAATTTCTTATTCTACTTCACATTCCAAACATTTTACTGAACAATTTTTTTCCTACTTTTGTCTACTACAATCTAATTCTCAAGATTTCACTGGGCTTCTCAGGGTGCTCCTTTTTCACAGCATCTTTTCCCTTCAAGGGTAGAATATCTTCTCTATCTCAAGCATTGCATATATGGTTATTCTTATTTCACAAATGTTAAGTGCTTCTCTGATGCTGGTATTATCTTTTCCTTCAGTGTTCATTGTTGTCTTCTTGCTTTTTTGTAAACTTTAGTGCTGTAAGGGTGGGCTGAAGACATTTCTCAGATGTGTCCTGCAAATTAATTAACATGGAGCTAAAGAACCAGCCAGAACCAGAAGTTCTACCTGGGATGCTGGACTTGCAGATTGGCGGGCTTTGAGAATTAATCCCTTCATCTCACCCCTCTTTCTTCCTCCAAGAGAAGTCAGGATTTACACATCCTTTTTTGGTTCCCCCTAAATTTCTTCACAGAAGAATCTTTCCTTAGAAAGGCTAAGAAGCTTTACAACCAGCAGAATAGTCTGATTTTTTACTTCATCATCCCGTTGACCTCTCCTTCTTGACCTTGGTTCTCTGAGGTGTCTCCACATCTCGCGTCTCCCTCCTTATATTCTACAGAGGCAAGTCTCCTGCTACTCCTGGTGGGAAGTGGGGGCTGGAGAAGAGCCCTAGGGGTCTAGGGTTGTTGCCTCACCCTGCCCTGCCTTCGACATTATTGGGTGCTTCCCCATCTTAGATGTTCCTGAGGATTTAAGACAAATCAGATATTGTGAGGCCCTGTCTTTATGTTTCCATAGCGACGTTCAGAGACAGCAGGTAGGCTAACAGTTTAAGGCCCTAACACGTTTCTCAGGCCTGGGCTTCTGAGGGTTGCCACAAGAGAAGCATCTTGTGTAGCAAGAAGTAAGGATTGATTAAGCATTAATTGATTAATTAACATTAATTGAGGAAAGAAGCCCGAGTCGAAGGCTCTGGCCTGCATCGCATCGCTGCATTAATTTCCGAATGTGCGTTTCAGGTTTGTGACGCCTTTGTTCTCCTCTGTTTTTCTCCCCAGCCAAGTGTTCACCTAGAGCGACAGCATTCAGCGCTTAAACCTATCGGTACCGTCTTGAGATGGAAAGAAAGCTGTCGAGAAGACCCAGGAAGCAGACCAGGAGCAGAACTCTGGGTGGAAAGGGCGATTTCGACGCGGCAGGGGCGAGGGCAGCAAAAGACAATGTGAACGGAGGAAGCGGTGAACGCGCCCATCAAACACCGCAGGGACAGGGCTCACAGGCGTCCGCCCTCAGCTTCCAGCCCGCCCCTTGCCTGCTTCACCCATCGTGTTTGATGCCTTTTCCAGCACTGTGGAGGCTTCCGTCTAAAGCCCCTGGCTTTCTGCTTCTCAGCGGATCCATCCCAACCACTCCCATTCCATGGGGATCTTTACGCATCTCTTCTCCTCCAAGGGACTTTGCTGTTTCCGTGTCTCCTTGATAATCGTTCCCTCCATAAGGATCCAGTCGGCTGTCATCCACTCTCCCCACTGGGTCTTGTCTTGGGCGTTAGTGAGCACCGATCCCCTGCTGCATCGATGCCACGCGTTTGATTTCTGTGGGTGCATCCTTATGAAGGACTGTTCTCCCAAAGAGTACGTCCGTCTTCATCACTAGCATCACCAACACACTCGAGCCGACACGCCCCCGTGAAATCCAAGGCTGCTTGGGGTTAGGATGGGAAGGAGTCTCATTCCTCTCGTACACTTCCCAGAACCCAGCCACTGGCCAGCCGGGCCACAATTCAAAAGCAGTGAAAAAGAAGCCCTTATTCTGCCTCAGGAAACTTGATGGCAGATAAGTGGGCAATCTGGTTTGGGGGACAACTAATGATTTTGTGTTTTCCGTACTACAGGCATTGATAGCTATGTACAATTTTTCATTGTTCACACTACAGAAACTCAAACTTTTCTCCAAATAGGTGATCGGTGCTAACGAAATGATTAAGGGACACATATTTCTGATACAAAGAAAGCAGTGTTTATTGGGACATGGTCACCCTGTCACACATAGTTCCCTGTGAAGGAAGCTGAGCCACGAGCTCCAGTCACTGGCCTGGAGGAATGGCCCAGTGCAGTAGCATGAGCATCTGGTCCTCTTCTGGAATGCCCACTGGACAGGCGCAGAGTTCGGAGCTTCCGTGTGGTATTAGTTCAACTTGGTGCTTAATAGTTGCTTGGTGCTGTAGCATGACTGATGGGATGAACAGATGCTGAGGGATGAGAACCAGGCCAAGTGCGGTGGTCAAAAGATGCACGAGGAAAACAGACACTGGCAACATGGTGGTTGGCCCAGGGCTGGTGGTTAGAAATCAAGTTCAACAGCAAGGCCCACAGGAAACTGGGCGACAGCAGGTAGCCTGGCAACAGACTGGACGGCAGCAGCTGGACACACAACAGCTGGGCCTGCAACAGCTGGGCCTGTAGCAGCTGGGCCTGTAGCAGCTGGAGATGCAACAGCTAGGCCTGCAGCAGCTGGAGATGCAACAGCTGGGCCTGCAGCAGCTGGGCCTGTAGCAGCTGGAGATGCAACAGCTGGGCCTGCAGCAGCTGGGCCTATAGCAGCTGGGCCTGTAGCAGCTGGAGATGCAACAGCTGGGCCGGAAGCAGCTAGGCCTGCAGCAGCTGGACACACAACAGCTGGGCCTGCAGCAGCTGGAGATGCAACAGCTGGGCCTGCAGCAGCTGGGCCTGCAGCAGCTAGAGATGCAACAGCTGGGCCGGAAGCAGCTAGGCCTGCAGCAGCTGGACACACAACAGCTGGGCCTGCAGCAGCTGGAGATGCAACAGCTGGGCCGGAAGCAGCTGGGGTGGCAGCAGGTGGTCCTGCAGCAGGTGGGCTGGCAGCAGCTCTCCTGGCCACAGCCCTGCTCGGAGCAGATGGAGCCACAATAGGAGTTGACCATGGTGTCAGTGGCTGGAGGTTCTGAATAAGTTACCAGGCAAGTAAGTGTTCTGAATTGGAAGACTTTTTGACTCCTTTCCCCTTTTATACCCTGTTGAGAGAACTTCCTTGTTTGTCTTAATAGATAAGCATTTATCAAATTAGATAATAGGCATTCTTTCTTGCACCATGAATGCATTTTTCCTTTCTGCAGTACATTTTCAGTCTGATCTTTCCAAATCAATTCTTAGGTTTCTTCCTTGTGGGTGTCATCTAATTTCCAAGCCCACAGCTCCCTGAACATTTGCCATGAGACTGGCAGCTTGTCATTTAGTGTCAATCTATTCATCTTTCAATCGTGATTCAACCCAGACCCGTGCTGGTGGTCTCATGAGTGCAGGACACACACCAGGTGGGACAGGAGCTGGAGGACACCAACCAAGTGAAATAACTCTCAAATTAGAATGACAGCACCGGGTTTGCAAGGAGGAGGAACAGCTCCATTACCGGGTCATTTGTGAGTAACCAGGAAGGGCACAGCTCGAGGCAGGGGCTGGCAGCTAGTGAATTAGAAAAAGGAATTCCAAACAACACCTTTTGAGACTTCCTTATGTCATTAACCTGTTCTTACAGGCTGTGTCACTCTAGGAATCAAAGTTGCATATGAAGTTATTGTAGAGCTTTTCCCTAAAATAGCCAAGTGACACAGAGTGGCTACCTTGGACCAGAAAGCACCAGTGACCAGAATTCAACGTTGGAAATCTATATATTTTTTTAAAATTTCAACATAATGCAAGTAGGTATTAATAAAGAAAAGATAAAAGCAGTTCTATGAAAAAAACTTCATAATAAAAATAATTAGAGAATAATGACGGTAAATGCATGGTATGTTATGATCTTAAGAGAATATATTTACAGAAATGAGTTGGGAAATCTGTTTTTTTAAAGAACTGCCCAGATTCCACGGGGACATGCCTGGGAAAGTCTAGGGCAGTGATCTTTTCTTGCTGGTGCATTCCCACCTGTAAAAATACGGCCTAAAGTCAGATGTACTTGAGACTTCATCTTCTCGGGAAGACAGAACAGGAGCAAACATAAGTAAATGATGACACAACTTTACAGCAAACTGGGAAAGATCAAGGGCTGTCTTAGTTACTTTTCTTATTGCTGAGATAAAAAACCTGACACCCAAAGTTAAAGGGGAGAAGATTTATCTGGCTCACAATATGTAGAGGTTTCGGTCCATAGTTGGCTGGCTTAAGACAGGGTGGCTTGGTAGAGGGGCATCGCAGAGGGGAAATTTATTGCCGGCAGAAGACAGCAAAAACAACAAAGGGAAGGTAAGCCTCTTTCTGTCCCATATATTGTATCCAGGCCCGGGATTAGGGCAGTGCCGAACCAATCAGTAGATGGATTTAGTGACCACGTACCCTTAATCCCAGAATCACACACTGTCCATTCAGCCATCCCTGAAAAAGTCATCTACAACCACACCAGGCTTTGAGGGGACATGGAGGCCCAAACCATCAAGGACTCGGTGGCTTGCCGGGAAGTCAGTGTTTCTGGCAGAACTTGCATAGGTCAAAGAGCACTCATCCCGTTACTGGATGAAGGAAGCTGAGCCATGTGGAGACCGAGGGGATGAGGAGAAGTGCAGCCATTTGCCTGTTCTCTGCAGTTCTTCAAAAGTTGGCGGACTTTGAGTGCCTGTGAAGGGAGGGGCACTAATAGATCTACCTGTTCTTCTTTCTACCAATTAAAGACCTAAGCCTCCCATGCCACACAAAGTGAAGGTTATTTATTCTTGCTGAAGCAGCCTTAACATTTCCATCCATCTTGTGCACGTGGAAGAGGCTGCATGTCGGAGAAGGAAGTCGAGATATGAAGGGAGACCCAGCAGAGCGCCCACTAGTGGAGGCGGAGGACTCCTTTGGAAAAGGTGGATCCTCACCCAGGTCCCACACAGAGGCCCAGGGCTTCTGCCCACAGGGAAAACGGGCCATAGGACCAAGAGCTTCACACCTCTGCCAGAAGAGACTGGCTTTACTTGGGTCAGAACATGCAGAACTCCATGACTAGGGGCAATGGAGGTCGGTGTTCATGTGAAGCTGGTAGCTAGTTGATGATACAACAAAGAATCCAGAATTTTAATAAAGACAACCAGGGAAAAGGCAGCCAAAAAGCTCTCCTGAGACTGCAGTCAATCCTGATGGTCAGCTGTACAATTGAATTGTCTATATTTGCGTGTGTTTTCTCCTTTCTTCTATTAACTAATTTTAAAAGTGAGGGCATAAAACAGTAGGAAAATAATTGTATTCTGGGGCCTATATCAACTGGAAATGCAACATGTTTGACTAAGAAAAAAAAGAAAAGAAACACAGAGGGGTGCTAAGCTGTGTTAGAGTAGGGTAGGGACCTCAGCTGGCAACTTGAATATACAGAAAGATATGTGGAGAAGCAGAAAGGTTACCTGAGAGGTTAATATAACTCTAGGTGGATACACATTCTCCTTTCTTTGCTTGGCTTGTTGAAGAGACATAAGAATATGTAAAACAATTATTATAACAATATTTCATTGAGTTTTAAGCATATAGATGTTTTATATATATATGTATATATATATACATATATAGCAATAATAACACAAAAGGGTGGTATTAAAGCTGTACGAGGATAAAGGTTTTAGATCTCACAAAAACTAATAAACAAGTCTGACGTATATTTGGATCATTTAGCAGTGATGGTGAATCATTTAGGGCTTTCAAACCTAACAAACAGCCCACTGCAGCACATATGCCATAGGTTCATCACCACTTAATTAGGGTGAATGTCTTAACCCTTAGAGTACACACACACTCACACACACTTAGAAGAATTAAAATGTCATGCTGCAAAATGCCTACTCAGTGTAATAGAAAGAAAACAGAAGACAGGGATAAGAAACTTGTACCCACAATACACAAAGAACCCTTACAACTCAATAAATGACAACCCAAGAAAAGTGAAAATATAAAGTTGAGCATGTGTTTATAATAACATTATCATAGCAGCCCCAAAGAGGAAACAGCCCAAATATCCATCAACTACTAAAGTAAAGGGTGATATGTCCGTATCGTGGATTATTATATATTACTCAGCAGTAGAGCGAATGAAGTGCCGCCACATGGTGAGGTATGGGTGGATCTCGAAAATAGGATATGAAATGAAAGAAGTCAGTCCCAGAAACCCCATATTCTATGCATCTACCTATATGAATGTCCAGAGATTAAGCCCGCAAGATAGGAAGTAGACTAGTTGCTACCTAAGGTTGGGTGGAGGTAGGAGAGAAACTGGAAATGACTGCCGTTGGGTGTGAAATTTCTCTTCAAGGAGACCAAGGGGCTATAAATTTTTGTGATAGTTGCACAATGCTGATTATATAAAAATATATGTGAAACCCTGTTTTATAAAAATAATAAATTGTATACTTTAAAGGGTATATTGAATGGTGCATGAATTACATCTTAATAAAGTTCTTTTTTAAAATCGAGGGTAAATACATTGGTTAGAATAAATCTAGAGATAAAATCACCAAATAAGAGATGATGACTCAGAACCTGCATAAATATTCCCAACAGATTTTTCAATCTTTTTCTTTTTTATTAACATATATTAATTATACATATTAAAGGAGGTCAGCAGAGTGTACATGCATCTAGATTTACACTGATCAAAAGCAACCCCTCTTCACCCACCTGCTCCCCTTCTCACATAAAAGTTGTATGTGTTTACGGGGTACCATGTACTGTTCAGTCACATGTACACACTGTGTAATGTTCAGGTCAGAGAAAGCATATTTATCTGCTCAAATATTTGTAACTTCTTTGTGATGAAAACATTTAGATCCTTTCTTCTAGTGTTTTTGGAAATATATACACTCTTTTACTATTCTCTTAGTTATTTTACCATGCAAGCAAACACCACAACTTACTTCTCTTAACTAGCTGTAAGTTAGTGTTGTTCACCAACATTTCTCCCTTATTCCCATCCACCTTGGTAACTGCACGTCTACTCACAACTTCTACGAGATCAGCCCTTTTAAGATTCCATCTTTGAGTGAAATCATGCAGTATTTTTCTTTCTGTGCCCAACTAATTTCTCTTAACACAATGTCCTCCTGTTCTGTCCGTGTTATCCCAGTGACAAGGTCTCGCCTCTTCATGGGTGAGTAGTATTCTGAGGTGTATTTGTTCCACATTTTACTCATCCATTTATCAGTCGATGAACACATAGGCTGATTCCATATCTTGGCTAATGGGACCAGGACTGTAATAAACATGGGAGTGCAGATGTCTCTTCCATATGGCAAAGTCAGTTTTCTTTGCTGGCCATAGAAACCCAAACTTCACTCCATCTTGAGAGAAAATACACTAGAAAATAAACTGAACATTGACTCTAAAAATAATTAATGAAAGATACGAGAAGTTCTGATATCAAAGTAACATTTATTGGAAAATAATTAACACATAATGGTGAAGGTCAAGGCAAGGGAGGTCAAGTCAGGATCTCCAGGGCTTAAGTGTAACTGCACCATGGATCTGAGGCCTGGATTTGGGGAAGAGGCCCATGGCAGAGATGAGTGGTGTTTTAATGTATATAAGGAAGCTCTTTTGCAAATTTCTGACTGGTAGAAAATAATAAAGCTGTTGCCACTCAGGACATGGTCAATTTAATTTGGATGACACTTTCACATTGGTATGATGATGGCTGGCTCATGGCTGGGTGTCAGATAGAAGGTTCAACAAGAGGATCCACAGCTGGGGCGGTAGCAAGTTGTATGGCAGCAGGTGGTCTGACAGACTGGACGGCAGCAGCTGGACACTCCACAGCTAGGACGGCAGGTGGTCTGACAGACAGGGCGGCTGCAGATGGACACACCACAGCTGGGGCGGCAGCAGGTAGTCTGGCAGCAGACTGGGCGGCTGCAGATGGACACACCACAGCTGGGCCGGCAGGTGGTCTGGCAGCAGACTGGACGGCTGCAGCTGGACACACCACAGCTGGGGCAACAGCAGGTGGTCTGGCAGCAGACTGGACGGCTGCAGCTGGACACAACACAGCTGGGGCGACAGCAGGTGGTCTGGCAGCAGACTGGACGGCTGCAGCTGGACACACCACAGCTGGGGCGGCAGCAGGTGGTCTGGCAGCAGCTCTCCTGGCCACAGCCCTGCTCAGAGCAGACAGAGCCACAACAGGAGTTGACCATGGTGTCAGAGGCTGGTGGTTCTGAGAGGGTTTCTAAGAGACTGAGTTTTTCAAATGTGGAGTCTCTTTCTTCCATGTCCACTTTTATACCCAGCTGTTGTCACCATGTTAATGGGTATTTCCTTGTTATTGTTTATCTTAATGCATGAGCAATTACAGAGTTTGTTAATTATGGAAGAATCTATATAAAAGTTGGATAGAACATGTTGTTTCCTTTCTCGGAGTTAGGGTTTATCTAATCCAGTTTTGCCTTCTGAGTCACCTCTTGTCTACCTCTTTAGGTGTATCATCTAATTAGAAAGACTCTAAACCCAACTCAGACTGTTGTCATCCAATAGGGTCACCTGAACTTCAACATTCTACATGTCATCCTGAGGATTTTGTGTCTTGTACCAATCCTCTAGCGGGGCTATTTTTTGTTGTTGTTTTTTAAAGATTCCTCAGAGAAATAAACTGTGAAAGTACCAGAAGAAAATGTAGAAATTATTTTCTTAAAATATTTGAAGTACAATAGTTTTTGTAAGACAGAAATATTAATAGTAATAAAGAAAAAATATTTAAATATTTTATTTATAACACACAAATTCTAAATAGATGATCTTTTTTAAAAAAGGTAAACAAAACCAAAGATTAAAAGACAAACAAATAAATAATACATACCTTAACCACCGCCCCAAAAAGAAGCTAATGACCTGAATGCATGAATACCTACTACAGCCTAATGAGAAAAAAAGACCAACAACTAATTAGAAAATTGAGTAAACATCACCTGTCATTTCACTATAAGACAATTTAACGCCTTGGAACTTTTGAAAGGTGTTTAGTTCCACTGACAATTTTTTAATATGTTAATGAACAATTTATTCATCAGATTATCTCCTGAATATCTACTGTGTGAATAGGGGCACAGGTCCTGTCCTATGTAGTATCCAACAGTGAGTAATTGTTATTTGTAATGACAAATATATAATATATTCAAGCTTTAGAAGTTAATTCATGAAATTATAAGGGGACAGACATTTTCATACACAAGTGACAGAAGTCTAAACTGGGGCTAATTCTTTAGATAATTTGGCAGTATCTTCAACTTAAAAGTGTATTAATAGTATATTAAATGTGACAGTATCTTAATTAATTAATTTATCAGATTTTTATTTTTTTTATTTATTTATTTTTTGGTACCAGGGATCGAACTTGGGTCCTTGCACTTCCAAGGCAGGTGGCAGAACCAATGAGCTAAATCCCCAGCCCTGGATTTTTAAATGTGCATGCTTTTGATTTAAAAATTTCTTTTCAATAAATATATTCAATAATACACATATGTTCCACTATGTGCATTCAAGGATAGTCACTGCAGTGTTGTTGGTACAAAGAAAGGCTTGATTTTGAATTCTATTGTGGTTACGAGGGAGAATTCCTTGATGTAAAAGACACCCTCCCTAGTCTTGTGAACAATTATTTTGCATATATCGAAAGTGATGGAATATCATTTCATCATGAAGGAAAAGAAATCTCTCTGAACTATTCTTTCACTTTTTCTGAAATAGAAACAAGGCAATAGATGCTTTTGCAAATGGGAAGGGCCCAAGAGATGGAAGGGAGTGAGAGGCAGAGGAAAAGGTTATAAACAGAATTAAGATGTGTCACGTATGTGTACCAACGCACCACACAGAATGTAATCAACATGGGTTAGAAACATGCACGAATAAAGAACTACTTTGGTTAAGGAAACAAAATGAAGAACGCCATTTCTTTAGATCATTTGTATTCCAACTTTGCATTTAGACTGAATTGTGCAAGGAGGAGGGAAGAAAGGAGATCAGGAAAGGTACAGGAAATGTTTGATTCTTCTGTTTTTCTGTAATCGAAGGCGACTTTGGGGGGAAATTTGAAGGCATTTTGGGAAAACAAAAGGCTGTTATTCCTGCTATCAGTTTTTTCTTTGTACACCGACATATGTTGTAAATATTCTGAATGTATGTGGAAATTCAATTTGTTTGGCATACATCTTTGCATCTAAGTCACTTATGATTCTATGCAAATTACCTGTATCCTTGTTTACTTTTCTTCTTCAAAATTATCATTTTGTGAAAAAGTTGCTGAGGTCTATGTTATGATTGTAGTTTGATCATTTTCCTCTGTACTGATAGTCATTGTTTGGACTTCATTTGCACGTAGCCCAAGGGCTCGTTACGACGAAAGCTGACATTTTTGGAGATTTAATCTGATATATCACAAGGAAGTCTCTATCAAGGTCAAAGCAAGTGCTTAGGATTCTGATCTGGTGGAGCCATGATTCCGCGGTCATTCCTTTAGAGACGGTCGGTCCTCTCTGTATGAAGGAAGGAGACATGGCCTAAAGATGCTGCCTGTAAATGACAGCAGTGCTCTCTTGGTGCCCATTTTGTAATAATCGCTTTCAGGGGGACATAAATATTTCGCAGCCATCCAGTTCACCTTCATTGCACCTTGTCTCAGGGCCGTGTCAGCTGTGCCCCTGACTTTTTAGACTTGCCACATTTTATGAATCCATTCTTATATATTTCTCTTGTCCCGCAGAACACATGCTGGTTCTCACTACTATCACCCAACTCACTCTGCCTCCTCGTAAATTCAAGGTATTGTAGGGAAGGGAACGGATTGCCCTTCATCTTCTGGGCCTCCCAGAACCCAACAAGCTTGAGTTGGTCCACAATTCAAATACGATGAAAAGGAAGTTTTTGCTTTTGTCTCAGTAAACACGGTGGCAAGTAAATGGGCAATCTGACTTGGAGGGGGAAAAAAAACCTAATTATTTGGCATTTTGATTGTTTGGATTCTTTGCTACATAAATAGTTTTTATTGTTCACATGACAGAAGCTCAATTTTTTTTTTCTCAAATAAACAACCAACACTAAAAAAGTAATTTAGGGTCACAAATGTTTCTGTTACCAAGGGAGTAAGTATTTATTGGGATGCAGTCACTCCATCACTCATAATTCTTGCAAGCCGTGCACAGCAGGTGTAAGACTGGGACTCCATTCCAGCGAAGTAAAGTGAGACTTCTGGTCATCTGACTGATTGCCACGGCAACAGCATAACGAAGAAGGTCCACGTTTTATTGGCTTAAGGAGTTGCTTTTTAAATAGCTTCCTGGTGGCATGACCAATGGGATGATGAGAAACACACAGCAGAGCTTGGCAGTGGACGGTGGGCTCATGATCCAGAATGGAGTTCAAGATCAAGCAAGTCAGAGAAGGTTAGGTGACATCGCGGTGTGTGGGGGGGGTTCTCCCAGCACTGGGGGCCACAGCAAAGCCTCTCCTGGCAGAGAACTTGGGCTCAGCCCTGGTTAGAGAGGTGGAGCCATGACAGGAGTTGACCCCAGATTCATGGGTTGGCAGTGGACGGTGGGCTCATGATCCAGAATGGAGTTCAAGATCAAGCAAGTCAGAGAAGGTTAGGTGACATCGCGGTGTGTGGGGGGGGTTCTCCCAGCACTGGGGGCCACAGCAAAGCCTCTCCTGGCAGAGAACTTGGGCTCAGCCCTGGTTAGAGAGGTGGAGCCATGACAGGAGTTGACCCCAGATTCATGGGTAGAGGTTCTGTGTGTGGTTCTAACAGTTTAATTCTTTTTCTTGCCAAGTCTGTTTCGATACCCTGCTGAGCAATTACCTTCACGATGTTTATTTCTCACCAGTGTTTCTTATTTCAAGAGAAGTTCTCAGACATGCTGGCTGGTGGCTTGGCATTGACAGTTAGCCTGGGTGTTTTAAATGATTCACATTTCCTCAGCCCTTTATCCCTCAAAGCACCAAGTCCTTTTTTTTATTTCAGCATTGTCTCATCCATCTCTTCATGCACTTTGCCACGTGTGGTTGAAATTCTGAGCATATGGAATCAGTGATTTTTTTTTTCTTTTGTCACCGATCATTTGACAACCTCTTCCTGAATGGCATTGAGACCCGTGGTCCCTTCAATTTGGGCAGTGCTCACAGTAGAAGTGAATGTGTTAACACACAAACAGCCACCCCTTAGTGCAGTACAGCACAACAGTTGTTAATAAAATCAACACAACACACTTGTAAAATTATGAAAATGCCAATAAATGTAGCTGGGTTTAAAGGATGTGGCTTCACGCTTAACTTATTCACAATACAGCTGATTGCTGACTCTTTTCCCATTCAGTCTCCTAATTCTCCAGTTCCACCACAAATGACTGCTGGTCTTCTTTTGCAAGTTAGTGAGCTTTTCCCCCTTCCTTCAATAACCATGCATTGCTTCCTACTGTGTTCCAGACCCGTTCTCAGGAGGGTGACACAGATACAGCTCCACCCGGCCCTTTCCCGTTACGGCTCCATTCTGTGTCGAGGCTCCAGCCGATCTTTGCACAGCAGAGGCTGCGAGGGCTGTGACTTGTGTGCTGGGCCAACAGATGGGGTCAGGGGTCCACCTCTGCAGCCAAGGAAAAGCCGAGGGGGCGAGAGGCGGAGGAAACTCTACACCAAGACTCGGAGTCGGTGAAGCTGCATCCAGAAATCACTTTGCTGCTAGTGCAAATAAAACACTCTTTCTTTCAAGAGAGTCCCCAGATGTAGACATTGCTAGGGACCCAGATCTGTGCCCAATTCTGTCTTTGCCCGATTGATACGGTGCCCTTGTTGTCTTTTTTTGCTCCTGTATTTAATACACTTACTGCCATTTCTATTTTTAAATTTGGATTCAAAACAAAACACTCTAGGTGTCAGCCTGCTTCTAAAGCACTCCCTTCAACATTAAATGTAAGCCTGGCCTCCCCAGGTTGGGTCCGCACTGAGATTCCTCAATGGTTTGGAGCTCAGCATGCAAAAGATTGGCCCCTAGAACCAGGCCCAGTCCCCTGCTGCAAGAAGTGCGATGCTCAAGCAGGGGCACCTGCTGCTAGAGTCGCCATTGCTGGCGGTGTGTGTGCGACACCGATAAAACCCGAGCAAGACACGGTACTAACCCAAGTGTGTCAAAATACGCTGCAAACTCGTCCACTTCAATCAGCAGCACATCCTGTCTCCAGAGACACCGCCCAGCAGAGGTTGAGCATCCCATAATCGGAAGACCTGAGATCCAAAACGCTCCCAAACCCTAACCTCTTTGAGCACCGACACGCTCATGAGTGGAGGACTTCACAGCTGGCCTCCTGGGGTGCGTGGTGCTCAGCTGCGCTGAGAACTCTCTATTGTCTTTCAGAGACGTGCTCTAACAACAAAAAGAAAAAGTCCCGGCTAGGAGCCAATATTGGCAAAACACACATCCGACGAAGACACGGAAAACAGAACACGCATCTCAGTACCGCCCACAGGCCAGTTTATATTTCATTTTCATTAATATATTCTCAGTTAGCAAATAATAATTCTGTATATTAGGGGGGAGAAATGGATGTCTTGATCCATGTTTATATTGTAGAAAGATGAAATCAATCTAGTTGACCTGACA